CTCTATGAAGACTCTAAGCGGGTACAAGAATCAAGGGTGTTTGTATGTGGGTTGGTTGGTAGGTTAATCAGGAGATTGTAGATAGAGTGTCAATGGTCCATTTGAGATATAGGTGGCGGTAATGCACTTATAAGTCTGCGATCCGCCGTCAAGCAACAAGAAGAAGAAGAAGAAGATCCAGGGAATTAAAATGAATGTGTTTGGTCTGTTTTCATCATCTGTTTGAATTGTCACACGTAGTTTAGATAAATTGAATCCTTTTAGAGATAAATCTAATAAGATTTCACTGCACGTATGTAATGATAACTGGAGCTAGTACTGCTGCACGTCAAATTTGTGGCTGTGGTTCAAAACCTAGCGAGCCACCTATCTAGACAGCAACACTCGACGTCTGGATCCCGCGTATCATGTGCAAAACTTGCCTAGGTAGAGAACCGGTTAGATAATGAGACGCAACCCGTGTGTCTTTCAGTGTAGCGCACGTATTCCTTTATACGCTCTTTCACACTCTGTAAAGTGTTGTTTTTGCCTTACTTTTAGGTTCAAACGCTAGTATTGGTGTAATAAATACATACCAATACTCATAAAGAGTTCTTCATTTCTCTGGCGGATTTGTGGCGGGGGCAGCTGAGAGGACGAACATGTCGGGAAATAGTTTTCGCGTTAGCGACGGAGACTGGGTTTGTCCTGATGAAAAGTAAGACGCACTATATAATGCCTTATTTAAAAGCCCAATAATTAATATAAGCATGTATTTGCATTACTTATAAGGTAAGCCTTCTGGGAAAATGCATGTTGGCTGAGAGAAGATCACACGTTTCTTTTAGCATAGCATTTGTTAGCTTTAGCACACGGCTATAGTGTGTGAATGGGCCTGTAACCGCTATTAAACGCGCTCATTTGATTTTCCTTAACCAAATTAAACTATATATTCATTTCTTTCCACTGGAGCACTGGTAATCAAATACTCTTTTTAAATTACACACTCATATTTCTTAGGTTAATCGATTAACGTTACCTAGTCAGTAGCTCCGTGCACGAGTCTGCTAAATCCAGATTGCTAACTAACTTCATTAGTAGTTGCAATGCCTTGGGCTATGTGAAATGTTTAGAGCAAAAAAATATTATACATCTATTTCAGTGTTTGCACCAATGGAACGTCCCACTATTTGAAAATGTCAGTGAGTTGGCCTGTTTTTTTTGTGTGCATGAGTGTTGAATGATGCTTATAATGTCTAGAGACCTAACCAATTTTGCCTTTGTAATATCGTAGGTGTGGAAATGTCAACTTTGCCAGAAGAACGAGTTGTAACAGATGTGGCAGTGGTAAGTGGGTTATAATTGTTTGTCATTACGTTTTGTATATTAGGGGTGTGTCACAAAAAGTAGTATCAGTACATGCACCATGCTTACAGTATTTTATTATGATCAGTCTGAACTCATTAGCCAATTTTCTTGAAACAGAAAAGACAACTGAAGCAAAGATGATGAAAGCAGGGGGAACAGAGATTGGAAAGACCCTGGCTGAGAAGAGCAAAGGTCTCTTCAGTGCCAACGATTGGCAGTGCAAAACGTGGGTATTGCTATAAAATTACACGTCCAATGTGCAGTATAAATACATTCAAAATTATTAATATCACAAGAAGTATCTGTTGAATACAATGTCAGGAAGTGAAATGTTTCAGCCATTCTTACCCTTCTACATCAACAGCATTTCTTTTAAATTTGTTTCAGTGACATTAAAGGAAACCATTCCTTCCGACTTCTTCATATTTTACTTCTCATTTGAATCCCACACTGTTCAACCTGCTTAATGAAGCCGAATAATGTACACAGTGTAATGATATCCTGTCATGAAGAGCAATGAATGGGGTCGTTTCACTTGAAAATGTTGAAGTAAAAAAATAAGTGACATGTCACAAAGCTTTTTGAGCAGTGCTGCTTATAATTCAACCACTTTTTCCTGTCTGCAGAGTTTAGCTCCATCCCTAATCACACTAGGGGGCAGTCGTCTTATAGATCACTTGTAAAAATGTTGCAAATATGACTTCACTTTGCCATTTATGTGCTTCGAACAATATTATGGTGTTTTCAGCTCCAATTGAAGGGCACAGAAGTCTTCAGCTAAAAGTCAGCTAGAAGTCTTCAGTGTGCAGCTAAACTCTGCAGGGCAGTGGCTGTCTTGGGGTGCGTTTCCCAAAAGTATCGTTAACTAACTATGGTCGTAAGTTCCATAGAATTGTAGTGGTAACAATGGAACTTGCAACCAAAGTTGCTTTTGGGAAATGCACCTCTGGACTGGATTTTTCCAAATCCAACCCATATTGGACTATATGCAATTAATGACAAGAATGGACTTTTTTTTCAGTTTCTTTAGGTTGATCACCCCTTTTCTTGTTTCGTTCTGAAAGGACATTCAGACTAAAAGAAGGCTAATTTTGATACTCAATACTTCATACCACTATTGAGAGTTGATCCACTCTTTAAATAACCCAAGGGCCCTCTTCTCATTCTCTTGCTTATGAATTTGAGACCCTGATATACCAGTGTTATTAATAGCTGTACTTGTTCTTGCTTTAAATCTAGGTGTGGCAATGTAAACTGGGCCAGAAGATCAGAGTGCAACATGTGTAACACCCCTAAATATGCCAAACTGGAGGAAAGGACAGGTATAGCTTTGTCTTTGTTCAAAATGAAATGTTAGCGTGAACTTTTTTGCATACTGACTGCAACCTTATGAGTTTTTGTTTAATGTCATATGCTTGATGCATGTAACAGGATATGGTGGAGGGTTCAATGAGAGAGAGAATTTAGTCTACAATGAGCGAGAGGAGTCTGATGGCGAGTATGATGAGGTCAGTGGTTTTTTATTTTTTTAAGTACACGCATGACATTTTCACAATACGTATAGTTTACTAACTACTAAACTTGAATTTTTTTAAATTTTGTTGGTCTTCTGGACAGTTTGGGCGCATAAAAAAGAAGTATCGTGGAAAAAGCAAGAAGGACGATGAAAAGAAAGAGGAACCAAAAAAAAATGATGGTGGTGATGAAGACGATGATGATGATGATGATGATGATGAAGACGGAGATCTTTCAAAATACAAACTTGACGTAAGAGATTTTATTCTGTAGTTCTATGTTAGTGGTCCCCTAATTTGTTGCTGTCTGAAATTGACCACACTGTCGATTGTAAAATGACTGCAATAGTCAGTCATAAAGAACGGATTTGAAAAATCGCAATATGATGCTATGTAAAAAAATCTTTGGAGCAGATATATGAACCTACCATCACAGTTTTTGATGTGCTTTTGATCTTAATCCTTTTAGGATGATGAAGATGATGCAGATTTGTCCAAGTACGATTTGGATGCTAGTGATGAAAAGAAAGGGAGTCGCTCCGGCTCCTCACGGTCATCATCTCGCTCGTCCAGTTCAAGTTCCCGGTCTAGGTCCAGGTAAAAGGGTACAGGTCAAGGGTAACTCCAGGCAAATGTCCGTATCAGCTCAAATCTTTATTCAAATCTCATTGCATAATTCTGTTTTAATGTTTAATTTATTTTTCTTTCCCTCTTTGCCTCATTTTTTTTAATTGCCTTTTTGATTGACATGACAGTATAAAATTTGATGTTCATTACTGTTCAATTTATTTACAAGTAATTCATGCCATCAACACAACTTGACCAGTGTTTTAAAGCCTTTAAAAAAAGCCAAAGCGGATCTTTTTAACACTTATTTTTCTTGGGTTTTCACCAGAGGATCTTTAACTTTCATGGAAAAATTGGAAATGTGTTTTTTTTTTGTTTGTTTTTTTTTTGTTTGTTTTTTTATGTCGGTGTTTCGCAGATCCCGGTCCAGGAGCTCATCCAGTTCCAGATCTCGATCTCGTTCTCGCTCCAGGTCCAATTCCAGGTGAATGAGGTCACATGCACTCTCCAGGAGAGTGTGTGTGTGTATAAACAGCCAGTGGTTGTTGTAGTGAACTCTTTGTCCTTCTGAGTCGGAACAGAAGTCGACTTTTGATCACCATAAAACAAATAAAGTATTAAATGAGGGTGCTGTGAGGAGCAATGAGATTTAGCTTAATCTCTTTGGGAATGTTTGATTTTTTTTTGTTCTTAGCAAAGGTGTCAAGAACTTTTTTGTGCTTGTTTAAAATGTTCTGGAGCTGTTGATTATTCCGTGTCCCAGATCTCAATTTATCTGGTAACACTGTGACATCTAGCAGGCAATTAGGACTGTAAGTTGTACTGATTCTCTCTGACGGGTTCAGCTTTGTTCTTCTGAAAGTTCAGTTGGTCAGACCTGCAGTTTTGGTCTTTTAAAGAAGTTTTAGTATTTACTGTAGTATTTAGAGACGTTGGGGGATGTTTTCCTCCCATTTCAGTCCCTTTGATAATGTTATTATAGTAATCTGTCCAATGATATTTGTTGACCTCATGGGAATGCTTATTTATCCCCTTTGAAAGATCCAGCTCCAGATCAGGAAAGGGCTCTGCTTCCTCAAAGAAGAGGTGTCGCTCCCCTTCGTCATCACCTGAGGGAGGCCAGAAGAGGAGTCGCTCCAGGTCCTCCTCTGGTGGCCGCAAAAAAAGACGCGCACGATCGCACTCGTCTGAAAGGTTTGGTGTAACACATGGTGTCCTGGATACCAGGCGTCCTTCTGCATTATACACAGGGCTCAGTGATATAGCAGTACATTTTTTAAACAATGTGACAAAATTGCGCTTTTCTCTGTACAATACATTTTTATGCTTTGTTTTGATTTCAAGAACCAAATCACTTAATCGGTCATGGTCTTTTTCTTTGTCTCTTTCTTTCTATCTCTTTGTAGACGCAGAGGCTCATCTGGATCATCCCACTCTGGCTCAAGCTCAAAACAGAAATGATTAACAAAAGAAACAAATCTTTCTAAAACTGCATGTTTTTTTTTTGGTTTGGGTTTTGTTTTTCAAACTCCAGTTTTTTGGGCTATTGCAACTACCCAACTGTTTGAATTCACATTGATTTCTATGAAAAAAAAAAAATACTTGCGCACCTGTTCACGTTTTTTTTTTTTTTTTTTTTTTAACATCTAGCCAAATCTCTAAACAGTATAACTCGAGGTGTAAAGTCTGTAGTGTCAGTGGGTTTATAGAGAAATAACATCAAGTCTGTGACTATAAATAGCACATATCTTCTGGACATCAACCATTTTGTTGGGAAATTATGCAAATTATATTGCTAAAGTAGTTTTATTCATCCATTGTCAGACATTGCCGTCTGAATAACCAGTTCATTAGCAAAACATTTATGCTGAATTAAAAAGTGCTCAGATGCTGGTTTTATAGTTCTTTTATATGAAACTCCTCACAAGAAATGTTGATGGCTTAAACATTACTTAACCACCTCAACAATGCCAGCATATTATATTGAGCTTTTCCTCTGAGGCGTAACTTTGCCTTGTCTAATTGTGTGCGTTAAAGGTAAGTATGTTTTTTTCTATACTTGTAGAGATTTTTTTTTTGGCAAGACAGATGAAATGTGAAATTTTTGTGTTTTGTTTTTTTTGTGTAATAAGCTTAATTTTATGATCTATCATTTGTGGAACTAAGAAACTGTAGATGACTCAAGTGGACAAACTCAAATTACTAATAACATAAATTACTGGATTGGTTTTCTCTTCTGTGGTCAAATCAAATTTGGAACATGTGAAATAATCACCCTCCCTATTCTAACATACAAAATATGAAAATGTTTTACTGTTCATTAAAATTGCATAAGTGTAACCAACATGAATAAACACTTGTTAATCTGAAACATACTGTTTGTATTTTTCCATGTTACTGCATTGCATTGGGTGATGTCTTGAGAACTTCTCAAGACACAAAGTCTTTCCATCTGTTATTGAATTATCTCTAGATTTTATTTTAATTTTTTTACTTACTGCAAGTAAAACCTATAAAGACCGATGTTTTAATGATCCCACGCTGCTACTTGTGGGGAATTCTAGTGATGTTTGTGAAATTATACATTAATCAGAAACTTGTTCAATGTGTTTCTTTCCTCGTCTACTTTATAGAATAGAATTTTATTAGTCGTGTGAATTACTAACCATTGTTGATAGACAAAAATACACCTGCAGCTGCAGGCACTAATAATCTTTTTGAAAAGATCGTTTTTCAAGCGCTAGGTGGCACTTGTTGCGTTCAAACCATAGACTATAAAAACAGGTTCAAACCCATCTGAGCTGTTGGTTTGGGGGGTTATCTTCGAATAAAACATTAACCGTTATTATTTATCCCTTGTTTGAAGATTTACCTATATATGACCAAAATCAATATTGTTTTGTTTAATACATTTAGCGATAGTTTAGTTAATTCCAAAATCTATTTAAAAATGTAAAAAAAAAAAGTATAGCCTACCCACTGAAAGTTATCGTAGGCAATATTACGCACTCTCGCTACAACGCTTGTTATAACCACATTTTGTCAGAAGTTTAAATTCCAACAGTCATACTAAAACGAATGTGCTCCATTTGCTTGGGAATGAAAGTCATAGACTACTATTTTCCATAGAGCAGAAAAAAATAAAGAACTAAACAACACATATATCTACATATAACAATATTTTATCCGTTACGTTTAAGATATTCTTTATGTATCTTACGCTATTTTTCAGTTGTCTTTCTGAGCATGTTTTACATTTCCATAAGGGTCCCTCCTCCTCTGTGTTTATAGCGCGCTCAAAGTGAGACAGATGTCAAGCGGACTTCACTGAGGACTCCACCTGTTTCAAAGGCTGCTGTGGCCATGAACACTCTTCCTGAAAAAGGATGACATCTAAATGTCAGTCTTCAGATGTCCTGTTGCAAAACCTGACTGCTGGAACCATGATGTGGGAGTCGAACCACTCCAAATCTTCACAGGACGGCGCTGGCAAAAGCGCCAGCTGTGGCTCTGTGTCCGTGTTTTTTCCCATCATTATGATGGTCACTGGAATGGTCGGAAACTCTCTCGCGATGCTGCTAGTTTATAGTGCATACAGAAAAAAAGAAAATAAAAGGAAGAAATCGTTTCTGCTTTGCATCGGCTCTTTGGCGTTAACTGATCTTTTCGGCCAACTGCTCACAACTCCGATTGTCATTTCGGTGTACAGAGCAGATCTGAAATGGAAACGCGTGGACCCTTCGGGAACTCTGTGCGCTTTCTTTGGGGTGTGCATGACCACTTTTGGCTTGTGTCCACTCTTTTTAGCCAGTGCCATGGCCGTTGAGAGGGCCTTGGCCATCACTGCTCCACACTGGTACTCACATTACATGAAAACCAGCGTGACCAAGCAGGTTCTGGTCATCATCTGGTGCCTGGTTTTGCTGTTTGCCTTACTGCCCATTGCTGGGGTTGGAAAGTATACTTTGCAGTGGCCAGGCACTTGGTGCTTCATAAGTACAGGTGACAAGGACGTAACGGGAAATACATTTTTTGCCACGACTTTTGCGGCATTGGGGATATGTTCTTTGCTGGTCACGTTGTCGTGTAATGTTGTGACCATCCGTGCTTTGGTTATACGTTGCAAAACGAAGGCAACCTCGACCCAGTCATCCAAGCAATGGGAGAGGTTAACAACCGAGACTGTTATTCAGTTGATGGGCATTATGTGTGTGCTGTTGACATGCTGGTCACCTCTACTGGTATGTATCATATCAGCTTTTGCCAGATGCACTTACTGTAGTTATCAGATGAACGCATGCATGGTGTCATTCCTGCTCAAACCTAAGTGTGCCCAGCTACAAAATGCTGCTATTTATATTGGATTAAACAGAATATATGAATTCAATGTAAAGGTGAACTCAACAGGCCAAGTGTTTTACTAGTACCGTACATGTTGGAGGGTCACTACTTGTTATGTTTTCATGTTTTTGAGCAGTTATTTGAGATTATTGTTTACGCTGGGTTTTTTTCCCTAGACTATCCAAAAAAGGCTCTTTTGACAATTTTGAGTCTTGTCATTTCTTCCCAGTTATGTCATTTCAAAATATAGGCCCACATGGAATATGTAAATTCATATTTTCTGACTGAAAAAAAATAAACAGAAAAAAAAAAAGATTTTTGTGGAATAGGTGGAAACTGTTGGAAATGTTATGGCTGGTAGTGATAAATGGCAGATATTTAAAGTCTGTAAAATGTTGCATAAATAAATGAGGAAAAAAATAACACCCCAAAAAAGAGTAATCAGTCATTTTAAGCATTAACATTATCATGTAAAGTATGAAAAATGGAAATTCATTTTGATATCTTCTAAAGATAAAATGTAACAGTTATTAAATTGTGATTTTAAATATTAGGTGTTAAATGATGACAAAGGTAATCTAAATGTAAAAATAGGGGAAATACATAATGCACAATTACTTGTCCAATTTTAGTCAATTAATATCCAGTATAAACTGATCACAATATAGGCTACTAAACATTATTTTAAAAATAATATTTATAACAAAGCATTGCCTGGATCTGAGAGTACAGAACTTTTACTGGTAGCTAGCTAAAAACATTCTGAAATTAGCCAGAATGTTTTAAAAAAAAAAAAAACCTGAAGGGGTGTAAATTTAGCAAATAACTGCTGTTTATACAGAAATCTGCTGAGCAGTCTTTAGAAGTCTATAAGCACATGTATATTTTTCTTAATCTTGAAGAAAACAATATTCATGTAATATAGCCATTGTGGTGTGTCTCCTCCCATTCTGCAGGTCCTTATGTTAAAGATGATCTCTACCCACACATCCTCGCATCAGTGCAATTCTGCTGCTGTATCTCTCTCATCCCAGGACTTACAGATGGACTGTAACTTCTTTCTCACAGCCATACGCCTGGCCTCTCTCAATCAGATTCTGGATCCATGGGTTTACCTGCTCCTGAGAGAGATTCTTCTGAGGAAGTTCTGCCAGGTGGCCAGCGCAGTATCCAAGTGCTCACTGGATGTGCAGAAGGAAACTCAGTGTCCTCTAGATGCCCTAAATAAAAAGGCCATTCAGAATGATAATGTTCACAAACAGTCCCTTAACATGGAGAACAGTAACTTGAATGGGGGAAATGAGGAACAGTGACTTGATAGTGGTACAACATTTTCCAAAATGAGGACAAAATGGCAGAGGGTATAGTCACCCACGGTCAGAATAATAATGAGCTGGAAATTTTCCAGATGTTTTTGTGGATTGTTGTATTGATGTAGGGTGATGTCAGCATGCTACCATGCAAACGCGTCACTCTTGTGTTATTGTCAGTCAAAGAGATTTTGTTCATGGATTCTCAGCAACCTTTGAAATGCAACAAAATGGCAAGACCTTAAAATAATTACATATGCAGGGTTCCCCACTGTCATGGAATAATTTGAAAATATCACACATTTTACAAATGTAAATGAATTGTTCAAAAGGTGTGGGAATCCTGCATATACAACAGCAATATTAGCAAATTAGATTTGGATAAACAAAAGCGAAATCATAAACTGAAGTTTGCCAGCTCCCGTGGAGACGGATTATTTTAAACTACATTCAGTGTTGTTACTATATAGCAAAATCCTTTTATTCACCTGCCAACTGCAAGAAAATAATGAAGGAATATTTCTTGATGCTAATTTATGATCTGTTATATAACATTTCAGAGCTGTTTATTGTGCAGTTTAAAGCACTGAATGGTCTCCAATACTTTTCTCTAAACTCCTCATCCTCATAGCTCATTTTTAAACCTCTCATAAACTCTAAACTTCTCTTTAGACTTATTGTGTGCATTTCTCAATGCCAAGCCTGCAGAGCTCTTTTTGATGCTGATAACTGTAACCGTGGGCACATTTAATTGAATTCCATGCTTGAGTTTTTCAGTTGGATTCCTGAGGGAAGTAAATGTAGAAGTGCAAAC